CCCGGGAGGGCAAGCAAGAGGGACCTGGGGCAGCGTCCTCACGACGTCACCCGAGGGTGTTTTGTTTATTTTTTTAATCCATTTTATTTTTTTTTCTAGGGCGGTGGGCTTTTGCCCCGGCAGCTGGCTACAGAAAAAACAGACAGAGGCAGACCGCTTCCACACCACCTCTTTACCCCTCACTTCCAGCTTATAGCATTTAAATTGGAGATTATTTACTCAACGCTTTGTTTTGTGAGGAAAACAGATTTGGCACAACACAGGGGGCTTCTATCTGTCTTTTGCTGTCTCCTCAAGGTCCATCCCGGCTCGCCGAGGTAAACCTTCCACCTGCCCTGCGGCTTGGACCTTCGCCTCCTCTGTCAGTCCAGCCTTAAAGCAATATCCGATTTTATTTTAAGAAGGAGAAGGATGTGCATCAGGCAGCTCCTCTTCATAAAGCTCTTGGGGGGGGAGGGGGGAAAGCAGCAGGCTTCCGCTAAGTCCTCAAACCTCTAAGCAGGTCCAAAGACAAAAAGCACAAATTGGATTTTCCAGCTTCTCTTGCTTTCAGCCAACTCTTGCCACCTTCCCTCTCTCCACAGAATTACCACAGAGTGAATGGTCACAGAAAACTTAACCCTTGCTGTATTTCAGCCCTGTTCTTCCAAAGTGACCCTGCTGTGGCTGCCGGTGCTCTGATCCACTTCCTACTGTGGGCAAGGCCATCATCTTCACTTCTCTTTGCCTATTGCTTTGTCACCCTCCCATTCAACTCTGTCTTTCATCCTCCCAGGATCAAGGTTTTCCTAGTTCAGTTCTGCGTCTATCTCTCAAGAAACCACAGATTTCTGAACTTCACGCTTCCCTCAGCTCTACTTCCCTTCCCTGTAAGGTAACCTTACTTCTTGCTGCTTCAGCCTTCTAACCCTAAACCCACTCGGCTCCTGCTCCAAACTGTTTTCAGAATCCTTACCCCCCTCCTGTTCTGTCTTCCCTCCCCAGGTACATCTTTTTCAACAAACTAGGAGGGTTTTGGCTTGATAGTTTTGGGGGGGTTTTGTTACACCCATTCATTTGTGATCCAGAACATCGTCACTTCTGACATAGCCTTTAACACCCCGCCCCTCTCTTTTCTTTCATTGCTCAGATTCGGCCCTTACACACATTAATGATGGATATGTTTGCATCTGACCCTTATGTCTATGCTCTCTTGCTAAGAACTCCTAGCCGCCTCATTTCCATCTCCAAAGCTGCCAGAATTTTTCCACAGGGAAACAACTGCCTTACGGCTCATTCTCCATATCTGCCAGTGATCCCTGTAGGGCCAGCACACCTGCACAGTAGTTTCTGGTATGGGAGAGGTTTAACTGGCAAATACCTTTGTACTTAACACTACAATAATTATTAGGCTCCTTTGCAGCTTTTAAAGAAAAACTTGTTTACTGTATTTATAATACATACGCTATGGATTTACAAACAGCAAATATTTGCTATTTGCCAAACAGAAAACATCCACTGGTAAGTTCCGCAATTTCTTTCATATTTTATATTAAGCAGAATCAGTATTGCTCAAATTCACCAGAAAAGCTTATCAGTGAGATCTTGAATTTTAGATATGCTTAGCAAGTCACTTGCCAGCCAAACTGATTAGTGCACGCTGAAACTGCTGTGAAGTCAACTATCTGGTTAGCACTGACAGTGCTAAACCCCCTCTGTAATTCAAGCCCCTCCTGCCTCAGTTTCTCCTAAGTTAGCATCTTACCACTAACATGGTTTCCATTCTCACACCCTTGCTTGCACAGATTTCCAAACCATCCAATCATATTTTGTCACTTGCAATAATTTTCCTCATTTGTCACAAGGAAATTACCATTTCCTTTCACTAGGCTACAATACACAGCCCTCAGTTTTAGGGCCAGTTATGTTTAGCATCTTCATCAATGACCTGGGCAAGGGGATTGAGGGCACCCTCAGCCAGTTTGCAGATGACACCAAGCTGGGCAGGAATGTGGATCTGCTGGGGGGAGGAGGGCTCTGCAGAGGGACCTGGCCAGGCTGGAGCCATGGGCCCAGGCCAGGTAGGATCTGTGGGATTCAGCCCTGACTGGATGCACAGGGCCAAGGTCAGCTGGATCCATGTGGCCCTGGCAAGGCTGGATCCATATGGGACCTGGGCAGGCTGGATCCATGGGGCCAAGGCCAGGTTGGATCCATGGGCCCAGGCCAGGTTGGATCTATGGGATTCAGGCCCATCTGGATCCACGGGGCCAAGGTCAGGCTGGATCAATGTGGTTCAGGCCTGGCTGGATCAACGGGGCCAAGGCCAGGCTGGATCAACGGGGCTAAGGCCAGACTGGATCCATATGGCCTAGGCCAGGCAGGATCCATGGGGCAAGGCCAGGCTGGATCCATGGGGCCAGGACATGCTGGATCCATGGGCCGAGGCCAGGTTGGGTCTATGTGATTCAGGCCCTGCTGGATGCACGGGGTAAAGACCAGGCTGGGTCAATGGGGTTCAGGCCAGTGTGGATCCACGGGCCCAAGGCTAGACTGGATCCATGGACCCTGGCGAGGTTGGATCCATGGGACCTGGCCAGGCTGGATCCATAGGACCTGTCAAGCTGGATCCATGGGCCCAGGCCAGGTTGGATGTATGGGATTCAGGCCTGTCTGAATACACGGGGTAAAGACCAGGCTGGATCCACAGGACCTTGCCAGGCTGGATACATGGGCCTAGGCCAGACTGGATCTATGGGGCCCAGGCCAGGCTGGACCCATGGGACCTGGACAGCTTGGATCCATGGGCCAAGGCCAGGCTGGATGTATGGGGTTCAGGCCTGTCTGGATACATGGGGTAAAGACCAGGCTGGATCCACGGGGCCAAGGCCAGGCTGGATCCACAGGGCCCAGGCCAGGCTAGGTCTTTACTCCCCAGTCAGGCTGGATCCACCGGGTCGTATCCAGGTTGGATCTATGTGGCCCAGGCCAGGCTGGATCCATGGGACCAGGCCAGGCTGGATCCACGGGGCACTGGCGAGGTTGGATCCTCGGGCTCAGGTGAGGTTGGATCCTCGGGCCCAGGCCAGGTGGGATCCATTGCCCTAGCAAGGTTGGATCTATGGGACTTTTCCAGGCTGGATACATGGGCCTAGGCCAGGTTGGATGTATGGGATTCAGGCCTGTCTGGATACATGGGGTAAAGACCGGGATGGATCAGGGGGTTCAGGCCAGTGTGGATCCACAGGGCTTGGCCAGGCTGGATCATCGGGGCCAAGGCCAGACTGGATCCATATGGCCTAGGCCAGGCTGGATCCATGGGGCCAAGGTCAGGCTGGATCCATGGGACCTGGCCAGG